TTATCTTGTTAACTATTCATTGGAAATAAAGAAATGCCTAGATCGTATTGAATTTTTTTTGATTATCACTAATCTGTGATGCAACGATAAAGAAAATTTTATTTAGATATTTGTTTTTCAAAGTATTATATGAGAACTCGTACTGTATCAACATAATTAACTAAATCTCATAGAAACGCAGAATCTTGCATAACAGTTACATGAAAAGAATATTTAAATTCTTATGGAAAATGCTTAAAAACCCGCAGTGTATGCATGAATCGTAGGCTGAAGAACACCAACCTACACTATCTCAAGGTTAGCTAATTTAAAAATATAATATAACCATCTATAACTTTGATGTTGATGTAGATTATTGTCTTCTAATTAACAACAATAATATTTGGAGAGGAATTAGAATTAATAGTGAGTGTTGTAGCACCACGATGTACAGATAATAACAACGTTAGTGATAGTATTGCCATCTATTGGCTTGTATTCAAAGGAAGTGACAATTTTTTAGAACTAGTTATGTGCCTTTTCCTCAGAAGACAATTAGCAGCCAATTAGTCATTACAATACCATACTTCCTAACAATGTATATATTGAAACATATGATTTTATTATAGAAATGTCTATTCTAATACTTAAGATAAAATTTAAATGCAGACTTAATTCACTGAACATAGATTTTTTGTTTGTTTGTTGTTAAGCGGAAAATTACACAAAGCGTTAGATGTGCTCTGCCCATCTCGGGTAACGAAACCTCGTTTACAGCGTTGTAAGTCCTTCCTTACATTTACCACTGAGCCACCTTGGGGCTACAGATTATGTAACAGTCTAAATGTATTATCCAAACATGATAGTTCTCACAATAATCCAGAGAATTACGTTATTAAACTGAAACTGATAGCTATGATATCACCCAATTAGACCACGTACTAAATGAGAACAAAGGTAAAACTCAAAGTGACAATCAGGTAGTTAAAAAAGTCAAACTAGATACTTGGTGGGGGGTGGGAAGGATATGTGAAGTCCTTATTATTCATACTGAAATTAATCAAAATCCAACAATGTGCAAAGTGAAAGGTCCTTCTGAGGAATCATCATTAAATACAGTTTTCTACAAAATGAATTTTACTGTGCAATCAAGTTATTAAAAATGTCTGCGTGGTTGTGTAGATTTGAAAAAGAAACTGAACCGAAAGAAAATAAACATTATTTTGCGAAAAATTAGAACTATTACTTTAATGGTCATGACTAACAAAATGAATATTATCTACCCTAAAACAATTTGAAAAATATTTCAATATATTCTGAACCGTCATGGAATGCCTGAAAGATCCCAAAAATAATTCATTGAATTATTTCGAGAATAAATAAGAGAAAAAAATCCAAATACAGAACAAAAGCTTTTCCCAAGGATTTTTTCCAACTGCACAATTATATTTTGACTTCATCATTTTTTAATATATGACGACTTATTACACATCATATATATATGCCTAGTAACAAATGATCCAAAAAAAGTGAAGAATATTCTAGAAAATACATTTATTTATCAAATCTGGAATGGAATTTTATAATCTTAAATATGTTTTTTTTAAATATTTATTCACTTGAACTTACTTATATATGTGAATTTCAACTGCACTAATATATTTACAGGTGCACAATTTGTGTTAAACTGCACACTAGGAAAACTCCTGTACAGGACCAATGTAAACTGACTGGTCATTTTCTTAGGATTCATACAAACATTTGTATGTATCATAACTTATGAATTAAAATAAAGAATAATGCATTAAAATATATGTCAACCACACTCTTATCTGCTACAACCAGTACCGGCTTATCAGGCCGGTTGGCATATGACAGACACAACAGTGGTTGAGAAGCTATTTATATTGTTACGTCTCTAGTCGTTAGTTACTTTTTCGTAAAAATTCTTTCTGAAGAAACTTTACCGATACAAGTCCTTTCTTAAATAAAACTGGTTTATTCTTTCTGAATACAACCTTGCAATACACTTAATTTCCACAGTCACGCTATAACAAATGCTATAACTCCCAACGAACGATTCACGTGCTCGACTCAAGTCGTCAATCTCTGTCTGCAGTTCAATTACATTGTTGCCGTCAGTTCTTACCGGTCTTATATATACAAGAATACCGCATATCTAGTAACCTTCCGAGACTTCAGGAAGGGACAGGATCCTTCTAGAAGTTCATGACGTGTTACTAGGGTCTCGTGACTTCCGCTGTCGTAACACTGCTCCTTCCTTAGTATTGTTCGTCCCTAACAATAGCCA